GGTGGGTGTGGCCAACTCAACATCACTCATCTTGATGGGGCTTCACCTTAGCTGTTACAATGTAATAAGGGTTAACCGGAGAGGCAGTTTCTGTAAGCAGGGCAATAACGATGAGGCTAGAAACAACACCAGAATGTTTCCTTCCTGCCTTCCTTACAGGATTAGCCCTGTAAAGTGGAAAAAAACAAAATGAGATTTCTTCCAACAACCGGTTCTCCGAAGTGCTTAGAAAGTTACCAACCGGTTCTTCCGGATAGGTGCGAACCGGCTGAATCCCACCACTGACTTTGACGTATATTTAGGCCAGCTACATGACCACAAAAGTGTCTTCAGACAATGCTGGCTTCCTCGGCTAATAAACGGAGATGAACACCATCCCCTAGAGGCATATAGGACTGGAATGGGGAAACCTTTACCTTTATGGTAGTGGTAAATGGGATTGTCCCTCCCTCCTTTCTTTCATAGAAGGACAGAATACTCCTGCAAGAATTCTGAATGGAATGCTTGCTTCAAGTCCGTGAACTTAAGCAAGGGTCACATTCTCATCAATACCCAAGAAATTCTCTGTACAGTTCACTAGCCGTTGGGAAGCCACCATCCAATATTCCTTTATTCTTGGACTATGTGATATGCTAAAATTTTCCAAAGTCGGCAGAATCAAATACTTGAAAGGAGAGGAGAGCCTTCATTCCTTGAGAATAAAAATGCTCCTTTACAAGAGATTGTTTTTTTTTAAAAAGAAGAAAAAGATATGTGATTTATTCATCCGATCCAAAGCATCGCTGCATATCGCAAAAAGGCAGTGGACTGTACAAACGTTGAATCGAAGAGTAAAAGGGCACCTTCAAAAGTCCTTGGTGGATTTAGCATCCCACTGGGTTGCAAGTGTGCGGAGACACACGTACACACTCTCTCCCTTCTGGTTTCATGCTCTCTGGAGTCCCTCGGAACATGCTGCATTTTTTCATTTTGCCTGTCGCTGCAATGAATGTGCTTCGCACCCCCTCTGGCTGAATTAAAAGCTATATGCAGGAATCGCGTCTCATGCCTGCTGCTGTGTTACGACGACCTCGGTGCCTCTGGAGCGGCAGCAAGAATCCTGCCACGGGGAGATCCCAGATGCAAAGCTAGTTGAGGAAGTTCCATTGATACACCTGGCTCTTTTCCCCCCCCCCCATTTTCCTCTTTCTGCCTACTTCCCCCCCTGCTATTGCTGAATGCAGTTATGTCTGATAGGCAGAAAGGTAGGCTAAACCCCTGAAAGACCGAATTCAGAACCCAGAGCAGAACCAATTATGCCTGTGACTCAAGTGGAAGATGGCTTTCCTTTTTGCACAAACTGGTCTTCTAATGTCTCAGTGAATGGGACTCGGGAACCCTTCGCAAGCCCTCTGACGGACTACGATGAGGAAGAATTTCTGCGATACCTCTGGAAGGAATATCTGCATCCCAAGGAATACGAATGGGTACTCATTGTTGGCTACATTATTGTATTTCTTGTGGCTCTCATAGGAAACATCCTAGGTGAGTAACATTTTGCCTAATTGCTTCTTGATGCAAGTTAGATTTTTGCAGGGACTTGTCCAAGCAGTCACCAGCAGTGAAAACCCACACATTATCAAAAAATCCCAGAAACACAATCCTGGGAATTGGGAACACCATTTTTCTTTTTTTTTAGTAATTAAAGATCCATAAAAATAGCATTTTCATTTACTCAGAAGTTGTTGGGGTGAGGAACACCTGTGTTTTCTTACAGAGTTATCTCAGGTGGGCGGACAAGTTGCAATAAGACTTAAATGAATTTTGCACTACATTTGATTGTGTGTGTGTGTGTGTGTGTGCGTGCGCGCACGGTGTGCATATCCTCTGATGCATTTTTCATGTTAAGGCTGCAATGAAGCTAGCCATCTGCTTGGGGCTAAGATGAACATTAAAAATGGAATTAAGTCTATGACTCTATTCCATGTGGGATAGTACTATTCAGCTGCTTCAGAATGGAGCATTAGAAAGTGTATTTCTCCACCCAGACTTTGTAGAAATTTAGTAATCAGGAAGGAATATCTTGAAGTTTACCATCCAGTGGTGCATTATGTGGAAATGCCTTACTAATAGTAACAGCTCTTTGAAGTATATGCATAACATATATTGAAGATAAAAAGTAATCTCTTCTACCCGAAGGCATCTGAATATTAGTATAATTGCAATTATTACTGTTATTCTTACTGTTCTCTGCTAAACAAGGGTGCCCAGCTCTTCAACTTTCATTCAGTTCTGCATTGGCAAAACTCTTGACTATGAGTTTCTCTTCCAATTCCATGAAATATTAGTACAGCTGTGAATGGCTATTTTTTTTTACTTGTGGCTCATTCATGCTGTCAGAATTATCAATGGGATTTTGAATGAGAGAATAGCCTTACGATGGTTAATACTGAGAATCACAAAAACACTATTCATTCTCCAATATATATTTGCTTAGATATCAAACAGAAAAAGGGTGAGCAAAATTTAGCCTTGTGGGATAGATGTGATTTTTTTTTAACCAGAATTTCGTGATTGGAGAAATGCTTTTGACCTGCAATTTCTGTGCCATGAATTTGTTGTTAGTGCCACAACAGAATGAAGGTTTCTTTGTCCCAAAAACATTCCTAATTATTCCAAAGTTTTTTTTTTCCATTTCAGTTCTCCCCAGGGTTTTTTTCCCCATTTAGACCAAGAGGGGGACATTTTATGGTTCCCTTTTATTAAACAACTAGTAAACAGAAATATTTGGAGAACTTTATGCCCTGCTTGAAACAGGGAATATCTGAGAGTTAAAACAAATATACCTTGCAATGTTCCTTTGGCTTTGCCCAGAAAAAAAAGTAAAAGATAGAAAAAACAAAGGGGAAATATTGGGAATAAGTTGAGAAGACACAGCTTTTGGGGAAAACAGGAATGGAAGAAAGAATCCAGACACCAGAATCCAGCTTAATAATATTGTACATTAAATGGGAGGTTGGTGTGGGGCAAAATAACTAAACTTAGCAATATACCTTCAGAAATGAAAAGAAAAACAGCTTATTTTAATGATAATGCTGTGCAGTAATTTAGGATAAAAATGGCATGACTTCAATGTTTTGATCAGCCCAAAGTTTGAAGTGAACAGAGGAGGTTACCTCCAAAATGCAACTTCTTGAGACAAGAACTAATGACCCAGAAATAATTCAGCATCTCTTATACCATTTTTCTCTCTTTGCTTTTGAGTTTTGTAATTCCTAGTGTGTCCTTCCCTTCTGCAAATATGATTTGAATGCTTGTGGCAGGATACGATTTCCTGTTGTAATTTACATGTGGGTTACAAAACCATTTCCATTAAATAGTAGTGTTTCTTGAGTCCAAAGGCAGAGTTAAGAAACAATATTTAACAGGCCTTGAAATGGCACTCCTGTTTATATATCATCTCGAGCCCCCAATGACAAAACAAAACCATATACAACGATCAGACTCCCATATACTAACCCAATACCAGATTCAAGTACAGCGCAATCCAACAAAAAAAATGCTGTATATCTGAATCATAAACTGATTCTATTTTCACTCAGAATCTGTGGATTTCCCCCAATAAATTTCTGTTCTACTCAACAGCTAAGCAGAACCATAATTGTTCTTATTTTTAGTGGTACCAAAAGGAAACCGAAGGTGAGTTTCTTAAGACTGAGATACTTAAATTGTTGTAGTTTCTAAAAGAGCAGCTGACTGGTGAGCAGTTATTCACCCCTTCGTGGTACTTTAAGGACAGAGTCAAACTCCTCCTCATCTCTGTCTTACAATCTTTCTAGCAGGTTCAGTTTGCTAAGCCTCTTCTTAGGAGCAGCAGAATATCTTTCAAATCTAGTACATAGAGCCCAGTGATCATATCTTGTAATGGATGGTGTGAGAAGTCAAAACATTTTGCATTGTCCGTCCCCCCCCACCTTCGGCCAATAAATAGCAGCTTCGTGGAGGGCGCAGAGCCGAGGTGGCGCAGTGAGTAGAGTGTAGTACTGCAGGCCACTTCAGCTGACTGCTAGTTCAGCAGTTCAGCGGTTCAAACCTCACCGGCTCAGGG